ATGGGAGTGGTCTATGTCATCACTTGCACCTGTGGTTCCTTGTATGTTGGCAAGACCCTTCGGTCAATACACAGACAATTCCAGGACCATATTTATGATATTGAAACTTACCATCTTAGGGCCCCTATAGTACGCCATGTATGTTTGGAACATAATTGCGATCCATTATGTCTCAAATGTTGGGTTGTTGAGGTTGTCCCTCAGAGTCTCCGGGGTGGTGATTATGAGACCCTGTTGATATGGGAGTTGGAGGCGGTTAAATCACCAAGTCTCAATGATTATCTAAGTTTTTCATCTTTTTTGCTATAAACAATATGAGTTTTTTTGTTTGTTTCTTTTTTTTTTTGTTTTTCTTTCTCTTCACGATTATGCTTATGTGTATTGTTCATGAAAAAATGTGGACAGCATTAAACAATGTTCCGACAGATATCATGATACCTGTTAATGTTTTATTTTAATTGGGGTGTTATGGGTTTTTTCTTGAGGGGGGGCAGGATATTGGGGGGGGGGGGTATGGAGTGAGGTTTGGCAGGGTTGATAAGGAGTTAACATGAGAATGTAGTGCTAATATTTTCTTACATTTATCCAAATTTGCAGTTCCTATGTATTTGCAATTACAATTTTATCATTGTCATTTATCTGTCTAGGGCAGTGGTCAAAGTGGCCCTTTGCTTGCCTCTATCCAGCCCTCGGGGGTACTATTCCTCTCACTGATACCAACAAGGAAGCACCATTTCTTCCACTGGCACCAACTATGGAGCATTTTTCCTTCCACTGACACCAATGATGGGGCACAATTTCTCCCACTGACATAAACAATTAGGTACTATTCCTCCAACTAATACCAATGATAGGGCACTATTCCTCCCCCTTACACCAATGATGGGGCACTCTTTTTCCCACTAACACCAATGATGGGGACTATTCCTCCCACTGACGCCAATGATGGGGTACTCTTCTTCCCACTAACATCAATGATGGGTTGCTATTCCTCCAACTGACACCAATGATGGGACACTATTCCTTCCACTGATACCAATGATGGGGCACTCTTCTTCCCACTAACACCAATGAAGGGGCACTATCCCTCCCCCTGACACCAATGAGGGAGCACTATTCCTCCCCCTGACACCAATGAGGGAGCACTATTCCTCCCCCTGCCACCAATGATGGAGCACTATTCCTCTCCTTGACACCAATGATGGGGCACTATTCCTCTCTCTGACACCAATGATGGGGCACTATTCCTCCCCCTGACACCAATGATGGGGCACTATTCCTCCCCCTGACACCAATGATGGGGCACTATTCCTTTCCCTGACACCAATGATGGGGCACTATTCCTCCCCCTGACACCAATGACGGGGCACTATTCCTTTCCCTGACACCAATGACAGGGCACTATTCCTCCCCCTGACACCAATGACGGGGCACTATTCCTCCCCCCTGACACCAATGATGGGGCACACTTCTTCCAATTAACACCAATCATGGTGCACTATTCCTCCCTCTTACACCAATAATGGGGCACTATTCCTCCCCCTGACACCAATGATGAGACACTGTTCCTTCCCCTGACACCAATGATGGAACACTATTCCTCCCACTGACACCAATGATGGCGCACTATTCCTCCCCCTGACACCAATGATGGGCAACTATTCCTCCCCCTGACACCAATGATGGTGCACTGCTCCTCCCACTGATACCAATGATAGGGAACTATTCCTCCCCCTGACACCAATGATGGGGCACTATTCCTCCCCCTGACACCAATGATGGGGCACTATTCCTCCCCCTGACACCAATGATGGAGCACTATTGCTCCAACTAATATTCCTCCTTTCACTGACTAAAAGCACTATGTAATTTTTTTACTCCTACTGGCGCTAGGACATTTTCTACTCCCACTGGCCACTTTGGCCCTCTTAAAGTGTGCAGGACAGTAAACTGGCCCCTTGGTTAAAAAGTTTGAAGACCCCTGGTTTAGAGGAAAAAATAAGAAGGGAGACATCTTGCATATATTAGTATTCATTATTAAATAATATATGGATGAATATACATACTTAAACATGCAAGCTTACCTTAAATAACACCACCATTGTTTAAAATAATAACATAAAATAATTATTTATAGGTGTATGGATGCCTTCTGTTGTGGTTGGCCTTTGATCCATGTATATGGCTATAGGTGCCTTTTCTCCTGGTTTTTCACCTCCGGCCTCTGCTCCTCTCCCTTTCCTTTTCCTGTTTCTTCAGCCCCTCCATTTTCTGTTTGTGCTTCTCACCCACTGGTGCCCATTTTAGGACCATTTAAGAAGATGGCCCACAATTGTTTGTATTCTGCCTCTGATGCAGCCGGGTGGGTCTGGCGAAACTCGTCAGGCTGTGCAAGTCATGACAGGATCTATTATGGATTTCTTGCAAGACTGATAAGTATCACTCTCATGGCATTATGGGACTATGGGACATTATGTTCACTTTGGTTGGATATGGTTACAAGTATTAGAAAGCCATGTTTGCTATTTTATATGCCCCTGTTTCACAGTTGGGCTAAACAGTATATATATATATATATATATATATATATATTCATATACTGAGGAGTCAATATGGATACCTTTTGGATGACACAAATTGCTAGTGTGAGGGAGGCCAACAATCATATGGAGTAAACCTTGGGCAACACACGCCCCTATGAGTCTGTTACTACCATCATTGTCACCTCCTCTGGACCACATTGTGTTGTTTTTGGATCTACTTGCTTGATTACAGCCACCCTATTCAATTTTGTCTATGTATGGAATCTAGGATACAAACGCAATTGAACAGCCCCTAAACAGCACATATTTAATCAGACCTGTTATTCAACTGGAGTGTACCTGTTGAGGAAAATCTGTGCACAAAAGTCTATGTACATATCTTTGATAACCAGATACTGTTTATGGTGGACTTTAAAAAAAAAAAAAAAAAAAACTATCCAGCATGCTGGAAAATATATATTCTTTGTGGCCACCTTTCTAACTTCTATCTAGTTCTATTTATCACTGTCCCTTTTTTCCTAAGAGCTCTCAGTAGGAAGTTACGATAAGCTTTTTTTTAAATGTAAAATACGATATATGAATCCTATAGGTCCCTGAACAAAATTGTTTAAGGGTTTTAGTGGGGTTTGTTTTGTTTTGAGTGTGTTTCTTTGTAATTTTAATTAATAAATGAAGTATTTTATATGTTAATTATATCTGTCAATGTTTTTCTTACTTCAATACAATGGTTGAAAAAGTGATTTGGGTTGAGGTATTGAGCTAAATCCATTTTTCCTTTTTTGTTTCTTGAAAGTGAAGCCCAGAGCCCCTGAGCAGCAGTAAATCTTTAGGCTGTCAACTGATAGGCCTATACATTTTCAGCACAGTTTTGAAAAATAAAGTGTAACTGAGACTGTACAGAGCAGGGAGAGACAGAGTATTACTGGATTTAAACAGTATAAGCACTCATTTTTAACATATCTATATCTGCAAAAGGGGCCAGCCTGATCTAGCAGGAAGTCATTTTCTGACTAAAGTTCCACCTTAAGGGTCAGACTTTACAGACTTACCTGGGATACATTTTTTTTGTGTCTGAGAATTCTATTTCTTAGTATGCCTGCTTTAGGCCTGTCTGTAGAGCTGCATCCTACGCAGCATTTATGAAAGAGGTGCAGCCAAACTTTGAGCAAGCACTCTGAGACTGTTTACCATCTTGAAAAAAAAAAACTATAGTTTGATTCCTCAGTTTTGGTGCTAAAAACAAATATGTGCCAGTGATGGAACTTTCAATATGTTTTCCTATGAGAGGTGGGTTCCCATTTGATTTTCCAGTTCTTTCATGAGACTTGAAGGGAAGGAGAATCTGGTGCTGCAGTGCATAGTAGCCAATCAGCTTCTAACTTTAGCTTGTTCAATTAAGCTTTGGCAATAAAACCTGGAAGCTGATTAGTTTTTGTGCAGAGCTTCTCCAGATTTTGCACACTTCAATTTTATTAAATCTACCCCAATGTCTTTGTAAAGAGTCTAAAACATTCAATAAGGAGCTTTCTCTGTGCTAAAGAGTGTTTTTAGAGGTTTGAGGACAAAGAGGGACCATGGTGGTTTGGGAAGTGAAGCATATACAGTAATTGGTTTATCTTTGTATATCCCCAATAGATAGTGACAAATCTATGGTTCAGATTTTGAAGTCTCTGGGAACTACCCTGGGGGAAACAATTAATAAAATATATTAGGAGTAAGTTATAGGTCTAGTGTTTGGTTTTATGTAAACAGTCCAAGATGTGAAAAACTTGCTTCATCAAGGAAGATATAGTATCTTTCAGACATCTAGCTTTGCATTTCCCACAAATATTGGACAATATACTTGCATCTTCATTTTATTTCTGTTTTGTTTAAAATGTTTGTGCTTCTTTGGTGCAGTCCATTTTCACATGATAACAACCTGCTACCTTTGTTATAAATATACCGTTATTTGTATATCAGATAACACAAGCTGCATTTTGGAAAGAAAAGAGCAATGTGAAGAGTGTAATTATCAATTAGACAACATCTTTAATTGCTCTTAGTAATAACCAATTTGAGTTGATACCCATTACCTACTAAGAGTACATACATATAATAACTAAATTTACTTTATTTGCCCTGGGCACTCATTTATGTTGATACTAACTTCATTGGTTCATGCAATCAGTCTTTGGTCCACCCTATTCCACTTTCTGCACAATGGTCAGTTACGCTGACCACCGCAGTGATAGATCAACATTGGGAAGCTAGGAGGGGCTAGACTGATGGATGACTTCAGGAACAAAAGTTTTTTTATTTTTTTATTAAGAATGCCAGGTTTTGGGTCATTTACCCTACACATCATAAAATGACTTGCGGAATTTTGCTTGAACATTTTTCAATGCCTTTTTAAATTCTCGATTTCTAAGACTATATATAAGAGGATTTAAAAGTGGTGTTATAAACAGAATAAAACAGAGATACAACTTTATCTTTATCAGAAAAGTAGGAAGCACTTGGACGGACATACATAAAAATGACAGTTCCATAGAAAATAATGACCACAGTTAAATGAGCTGCACAAGTAGAAAAGGCCTTCTGACGACCAAGGCTGGATGGAATGCGAAGAATGGTTTTAATTATACTGGAATAAGATATTGTTATAAAAGTAAGTGAGCTTAGCACAACTATCCATGCAAATGAAAAGAAGACAGTCTCACTGGTGGATGTATCAGAACAAGACAGTTTCACCAGAGGGATATAATCACAGAAAAAATGATCAATTAAATTGGGTCCACAAAAGTTCAGCAGAGCGGTTGGAATAGTTAATGACCAACCAGTAAAGAAACCACTCATCCATGAGCCTGCAGCTAAGTATTGGCAGATCTGACTGTTCATCATTGTTGCATACTGTAATGGAAAACAGATGGCTAGATATCTATCATAGGCCATAACTGTGAGTAGGAAAAATTCAGTAGGTCCCACAGAGAACACAAAGCAAAGTTGAGCAAGGCACCAGAATGGGAAATAACCTTTTCCTGTGTGATCAAATAGCTGAGTGTATTAGGAATGACGGCAGTTGAACACCAGGTATCCAACACAGCAAAGTTGCTGAGGAAAAAATACATGGGGATGCGAAGATGAGAATTGAAGCAGACCATGGTAATTATGAGAAAATTGGCCACCACTGTTAGTATATATATGATAAAAAAAATGGCAAAATAAAACAGCTGTACCTGAGCAGTGCCTGGGAAGCCAAGCAGAAAGAAGAACTGAACTTCAGTTTTGTTCCCGTGAAAGATAGCTTTCTGATGGGAGATCATCTATGGAGAAGGGTATAATGAGGAGAGTTAGGAAAATTGGCATATTATGTATTGCCCCATATGTTGGCAACTTGCCCCAAGGCAGGATTTCCTGTTGTTTGTACATATTTTAGTTAGAGAAAGCATGCCATGTTGTGTTTTTTGGATCACTGAAGCCCTCTAACCCTATTTGGTGGCCCTCAGTTTATTTAAGGATTACTATACTCTACTTGTGAAAATCAGCCTACCCAGTGCTCCCCATTTCCCTGCATGAATATTAGTATAAATCACATATTAAACAGCTATGTTTTTTAATTGGTCACATGACTGCAAAGCTTCATCTTTTGTATGTTAGGTGGAGGGCCAACAATAGGGTGGATTCACAAATAGAGGTGACATAACCTGCCAGAATCTGCTGATTTAGGCATGGTGAGTGAGAGGAGAGAATTCCGTTCCACCACCCCCATATCACAGAGGAGATGGAGCTTTGCAGAAAGTACAGTAATAGCTGTTTTTTCCAGCATAAATACATACATAAATTCTATAAAAAAAAAGTACCCTGTTCTCTTTGTATTGCTTCTTTTCTGTGAAACAATGGTCTTCCTGCCAGTCCCTCTGCTTTCCTATTACAAACTAGGCAGGAGAACACATTGTGGTCAGTTCTCTAGCTGTGCTGGGAACTCAGTGGGGTTGATTTACTAAAATTGGAGCGTGCAAAATCTGGTGCAGCTGTGCATTGTAGCAAAAAAAAGACAAAAACAAAATTAAACTAAAAAAAACAAATTTTGTTATGTATGCAACTAAACTAAATTAGTAACTTATCGAATCGATCTGAAATTAAACACATTTTTTTTGTTCTGCACATGTCTAGTAAAACAGTATTTATAATATTATTTATCTCTATATGCAAATGTTTTGCCTTCTATTTTATTCTTCATTTCTATTTTAAACGGAATGGGTTGTTTTACAAGGTGAGGGCTTACAATCACTTTAATTACAAAGAGCCGAAATGTATTGCTATCATCAGGCTTGCATCCATCTGCTACATTATCTATTAGAGGAGCTTATTATGTATGATGTTCTATTTTTGCTTACATAAGAGACAACCTAATGATTTGTGTTTTAAAATCTTGGAATAAAGGTATAGAATATACTGATCTGCTACAGCTTCCCTGTCTGCCATATGGACATAAAGTTTAACACTAGTAGGAGCTTCTCAGGTATTGCGAATGAAAAGTATGAAAAATGTATATTGTATGAACTGCTGTTTTTGTATTTTAAATGCTAACAGGTTTAAAGCCCATTTGAACTCACATGATTTATTACTGTAGTGCAGCCAGGCCAGTAATAAATCTGTTCTTCTTTTCTTGTTTTTACACTATAAGTGCTTCAGTAAGGGTTATACTGTACTGTAGCCTTCTGAAGATCGGACTACTACCTTTCTTAGAAAAAGTACCCACTGGGCTCCCTTGCTTTCTGAGTAGTATTGTTGATTGATGCACTGTTCAGAAAAGAAGGGTCATGTTGGACCATGAGAGAGCCAGGCCATACTCCAACTCTCCTGGGTGCAGCACAGATGTGTTACTGTATATGAAGCCTGCCTGAATTACAGAAATAAAATCTGTAATGGTTCACCTAGGCTTTAAGAAGAAATATTTCTATTGATAAATTAGCAAACCCCTTTATTACCTCAACTAGCATTTTATATTTTCATGCAGTCTGCTTTCAGGCTCAGGTCCAAATATGTTGAAAAGTCACAAAACACGGGCCTCCACCAATCACACTAAATGACTCACCAGAAATAATGACCCTCTAATCAATGGGTTAACTCTCATTCAGTCATTTCACTACAATGATCCCTCCTCTAAGAGATGTTCTTAGCATGACTATATTATCAATAAATATGGAAACAAGAAAGGACAATCCTCATCACATAAAACCATTTACTTCTAAAACAAGATTTAAAAACAAAAAATGTACACTCATATATATTAAATGCCATCCCTCTCACCAAAGGGTTTATTTACTAAAACTGGAAAGTGCAAAATCTGGTGCAACTCTGCATATAAACCAATCAGTTTCCAGGTTTTACTGCCAAAGCTTAATTGAACAAACTGAAGTTAGAAGCTGATAATAAATTTCCATAATGTGCTACGCTCCACTTGTTAATGCTATTACCAAATCATAGATGCACAAATGTGCTCCTATTGACAAGTAGTGCCATAAAGAATAAATAACCACTATAAACATCCGTTGTAAAAAACAGTGTCCATATACATATCAAAAAAAGTCCATATATACTTCTTCAGAAATACGTGTTTACTTGAAATAAATAAATTCAGTGCTTCTTAATTCACCTCTTGTGTGAAATAACTTAAAACTATGTGCAACCCCACCGGTTGTGCTCTTACCTCACAAATATGACCAAACCGTTAAGTGAGGTCATATAACTCTTGTGTCCCTTTAATTGGACCAAATGTGGATGGGATGGTATCTTGCTGACTGGGATCCCCTTCACTTGATCGATAGGCTCTCCAGACAATTTGACTGTACAAAACCGGTCAGCAAGCGCAGTGTGACATAACATCAATACAGCAAATGATCCTCAGTAGACATTTTCTACCAGATGAAAGATAGCTTCACCACTTTTAAAGATCTCAAAAAGTGAAGAAACTCCCTTCCGAAAGTCAAACTTCAGTTCTGGGTATTCCAGTACACCTAATTTTCACTGTACAGCAACTTTCTTCCCATGCAGGAGGGGTGTCCATCTCAGCTCCTTAATGATAACGCAAGTGTCCCACCAGCTGTGGAGTCTGTTAGTCACACACTTCCAAATCTGTAACAACCTGGTGGGACGGTTTGGTCATATTTTTGAGAGCACAACTGGAGGGGGTGCACACAGGTTTAAGTTATTTCACACAAGAGATGAATTACGAAGCACTGAATTTATTTATTTCACGTGAACACGTATTTCTGAAGAAGTATATATGGACTTTTTTGGTATGTATATGGACACTGTTTTTTTACAACGGATGATTATAGTGGTTATTTATCTTTACGGCGCTACTTGTCAATAGGATTTGGTAATAGCATTAACAAGTGGAGCGCAGCACATTTTCGAAATGTATTAATAATTAAACACACTGGTATGAGTATGTGCTAAGTGCAGACGATCCACAATTAGCTTATTGCATCTTTTAATATTTATTTAGCAGCTCACAAGTATCAATTTTATATGAAGTTAGAAGCAGATTGGCTACCATGCACAGCTGCACCAGATTCTGAATTCAACGGTTTTAGTAAATCCCACCCCATAGTGTCAGAAAATAGGGACATGGAACTTTTATGATTATACACAATGTGTTCATTGTTCATCAAAAAATATCCATTTAAACTCACAATGGTTTACCATCTTCATGCTCCAGTTTTAGGAAATCTACCCTTGTAAGTGATTGGAAGTTACAAACCCTGACACGAAAGGTTCTTGCAATATATCTGTAAGCTGTGCTGTCTTAGCCACACACACTAGTTGCCAGTGGACACAGACCAACTGGATGACACCAAACAAGCCTTGCCCTACCTGTTTCATTGTGATGACGTTTTCAGGGATGAAATGTTGAAAAGTCACAAAAGAGAGACCAGTGTTGTAGAGCAGTGTCAAACTGGTGGCCTCCAGCTGTTGCGAAACTACTAGTCCCATCATACCTCTACCTTTGGGAGTCATGCTTGCAACTGTCAATCTTGCAATGCCTCATGAGACTTGTAGTTTGGCAACAGCTGGAGGGTGACACCTATGTGGATGGCTGACTGCTCCTTGTCTCATAACATTTCTTTGATATCTATGTTGATAACGTGTATCTTTCGCCAAAAATGTTTTTTTGGTTTTGTATTGTATAAGGTGGGGAATGATCAGAACCCCTGTAAAGTTTTTATTGCTCTCTGTTTCTTCACTGGGGAGATCTACCCTCTTTAGTTGTTTTAGTAAGCATTGTTACTGGGACTGAAAATGAGAGAAAACCCAAAATTGGGAGTTCCCACCAGAACAGGAATAGAGGGCTAATGGGAACACTTATTCCAGTGAGGATTTCTCTTGCTTTCTGTTGTGTTGACAGGACTTGAATGGGCTGCCTGCCTGCAGGACCTGGTGAATAAACACAAGGCCCATTTGTGGTCCACGAGTCATGGTGCCTGTTTGAATGAGGCCTTTCTTAGAGCCTGTTCTTTTCAATCAAGAGTGACATCAGAGGATCCAAAGGCTGACCCGTTTACTCTGATAATTACAAACTACACAAACCAGGTTTCCA